CCAGACGTCTTCGATGAGTCGCATGGGACCTTCACGGTAGAAGTGGTCATTGGTGACGTAGAAGGAGACCGGGCTGGTGGCATAGATGTCGTTGGGGGTTTTGATGAGCGGGTGGTTGATTGAGCGCACATGCCTAATCGAATCGGAGTTTAGGATGTGGTGGAAGAGCTCAATCTGAGACTGGGCTTTGGGGACGTCCTTGGGCTCGCCAGCTTCAAAGTATGCCGGGTTGGACAAGTGGTTGACGGCATAGATATAGACTGCGTTTGACTGCTCGGGATCCTCAATGACATCGATTCCATGTGTCACGAAGGGACCTTGGAAGTTCTCGAATGCCAGACGGGTTGATTTCATAGTCTATTTTCGGGGTTAATTTGGGTTTTTTTTCTTTCTTTTTTTTTTTCGATATGTTTAGAACAAATTCACCTTTGGATCCACGACATGGATAGAGCCTTGGGCTGTGAGTGGCAGCATGTGGCCTAGCGGCGGGAACCAGCTCAACCGTGTGCTCTTGTCATCTTCGCAGGCAGTGAACAGCAGGTTCGCTTGGTGGTAGTGGTGCACATCCTCGCAGTGAATAGTATCTTCGATGTGGATTAGGCCTTGGCCTTCGCCTAGTACTGTCGGATTGGGAGTGAGGAAGTATCCTGTAATATGCACGAAATGGCTTACTGGGCCAGCCAGAAAGGCGACCAGAGCAACAAGGCCGAGGCGGAATACGGTACCAAATGCCATGCTATTGAGGATCAAGTGCGAATGAATGAGACTAAAGTATGTGAAAAAGTGAAAAAGTCGATATGGATGTGCATCTCCATTTCAGCCCCTCACTAAATTGGACCTCGGGAGATATCCTCGGGAATCTCCAGAGATCAACAACTTTTGCTGTTTTTGACCTTGAATGAAAGTCAACATATTTCAGATTGTATAGATGTGAGTATAAAAAGGCCTGGGAAAGACTGGAGATGCCCATGGTGATATTTATGCTTAACTGGATACCTAAATGGTATTAGCGTATGTTATATGCAGATGCAGAAGAAGAAGAAGAAGAAGAAGAAGAAGAAGAGAAGAGTTCAAATTACAATAAAACCTCAAGAGCAAAGTGCATTAAACTATCCTACGCAAAAATTATGCAACTCTCTTTTTTTTCTTTGTCTGTTTTCGTAGGCCAAAAAAAAACCACTCTCATTAAGTCTAGTCATGCTCGGAGTGACTAGACCTCAGGGGCAAAGTCCGAAAGAAAATAAAATAAAAAAGAGTGCACTGGTACAAATTCCCAATCCCATATCGTGTCGTGATGAATTTCCCCAAACATTTTTCAGTTTGTGGACTGCTTGGCCTCAAGATATTCCTGATCACTGGCGTCAAGAACGTCATATTCTTCGTCAGTCAGGAAGCCAGTGTCAGCATCAGTGGAGGCATCGTCCAGAGTCAGGCTCTCAACATCCTCTAGAACATCCACCTCCGAAGAATTCGACAAGGTCGGTGCCTGCGGCGCAGGAGCCTCGGCTTCGTGAGTGCTTGACTCCGGGGATTCCTTCTCCAGCTTGGGGAAGATCATGCCACTGCCGGCAATCTCAGATGCGGCAGGGTATGCCTCACTAGTGTCGACTTCTTCAAGAGAAGCGGTCTGCACCTCGACATCACACCACAGACGATGACCGATGGCCACACCGTTAGGGAGTTTCAGACGCCAGTAGGAGATAGCAGAGCCTTCGTGCTGAGGGGTGCGGAGGTTGACAGTAAAGTCAGCACTCTCGCCTGGCTCCACAGGGGCAAGCAATTTGTTGCTTGCCATGGCGGAGCGAATAGACTCGACGCTAGATGGGTGGCAAACATCGACGTTGAACATCTTGTCTCCACCGACGAAGCGCACATCACAGCCAACGGGCCATGCTGCAGGACCAGGGTTGTAGAGAGTCCAGGTCTGGCGGAACATGGTGTTTGGAGCCATCTTTGTACCGTCGGTGACAGTGTCACGGATAAAGAATGCCTTGTAGTCCGACATCACAGAGCCATCGGTCTCGGGAATAGGCTGGCTCATGAATAGCTGAGGCTCAACCTTCTCCACAGGTTTGCTGCTAGCATCCACCTCGACCGGTTCCTGCTCCTCAACTTCGGCCTGGTCAACGGACCGAATGGGGGCATGGATCTGGTCACCCAGGGCAACTGCTCCACTCACGCCGTCATCGCCCATGGTGCTCACAGTCACATTGCGGACTGGGGTGTTGAACTTGACCAGCGGATGAGTGCGGTTGTGGTGGTCAGTCGGAAGGGCCTCGCAACTCGCACAGAAGTCGGTGTCATCACAGACAGCGCACTTGTAGCGAACTCCGCTGATGTAATTCTGGGCAGGTTTGCTCTTGCACAGGGGACCGTCACAGAAGATGCCATAGTGGATTTCATGTTCCCGAGCAGGTTCACCAATACTATCGTAAACCTGCACGAACCGATGACTCGGGTGGCTCTGAGGAGCAGTCAAAATGCAATCGGGGCAGAAGTCCCAATCGGGGCAGGCCAAGCACTTGTGACGAACACCAACGATACGCTAGCAAAAAAAAAACGAAAAAATTAGTCGAAAGCCTCCCGAGTGGGTGGAATGAGTAAATACCTTGTCACAGCCGTCACAGACAGCGGCGTGTCGGAACTGCCGGCCAGGAAGACAGCGAGAGGTGATCAGATTCTTCAAGCAGAAGTTTCGGTCAGACCCCAGGTGGAAGGTGTGACCAGGGTGGTGTCCATGCTTATTCCGGAGAAGGCAGCGAAGGCAAAGATCATAGTCCTCACACTCATTACAGCGGACGAGGTTGCTTTCGTCGGCTTCTGTTTATTGTGAGCAAAGAGAAGAAAGAAAGGCAAGCGAGAAAGAGAAAACTAACCACGGCAGCATCCATTGCACATTGGCTTGTCATCACCCTGAATGGCTGCATCCAAACAAGCTGGTGGGGCCACTGGCTCTGGGATCGACTCCTGGATTGACTCTGGGATCGATTCCTGAATCGACTCAGGGACTGGTTCAGGGACCGACTCAGGGACGTGGACCACCGGCTTGGTGATCACCTCGCGCTGAATCTGAGTAGGCAGTATGGTGTTGAACTCCACCGCCGATTGATCCCGAGGAGCAATAGTCTCGGTAGTGCTGTTTGTGACGACACCATCCTTGACTGTCCTCTTGATCAACCAGTGACCTTCGCCGCGGCAAGATGTCCCGGCACCGACACATTGTAGGCATAAGTCATAGTCCCCGTTCTCGCAAATGCTGCAGTGATAATGCGCATTTGCAATAGAACGACCGCAGTGATTGCAGTCGATGCAGAACATCCCGTTGGGCGAGCTGTGGGAGATGACCGGGAACTGATGCTTTTCTTGGTCCATCTCGAATGTGCGGTAGCGAGATTGACCGAGAGGCAACTCTTTCTCATCGGTGGGATGAGGAACCTGGGCCGATTCAATGGGAGGGAGTGTATTGGGAGGTGCTAGAGGACTCAGAACCGTTTCGAGATAACTGTGACGAGTGTGGTTGGTTGACTCCATCGACACAGTGGGTTCTGATGGTACTGGTGTTGGTGCAGATGTGTTTTGGGAAGGAAGAGTAGTAACCTTGATACGGAGCTTGGACTTGGCCTTGGCAGCTCGGTAGAGTTGTTTGTAGACTGCGATGTTGTCACAATCTAAGCGAACGTAAGAACCAGCACTATCGGAATAGCGTTCAAGGATGACGTTGACATCCGCCGGAACCCCGAGCAGTTTCCTAAGCTAAACCGAAACCGTCAAGTCAGCTTGCGAAAGAAAAAAAAAGAAACCAACAACCATGCGTATCGTTTTGTTTACGGTTGGAATAAAATATTTGGTAGACATAAAACATGATCTGATGATCGCTGAAGATAAGGAATGGAGTCGGACTACAGATCCGGAGCTTGAGCTTGAGTGGAGACTTACCATCTGGGGAAAGACCTGGGCCTTCAGCTCCCTGAGAGGCATCTTGAAGCGACGGTTACTGTCATTGTAAAGTACTTTGACAGTAACCAGACTCTCTGGACCCGAATGAGAAGTAGTAGATGGGGTTGTCATCGTAGACGATGTGAAAGTCCTAGGGTGGAGACCCCTTTGAGATAAGGCAACAGTACTAGGGTGTTGGGTGGGAAAGGACAAAAACAGCACTTTACTAGTCAGAAAGAAATGCTGGAAGATAAAATGATGATAATTTTTTTATGATGAAGAAGGAAAAGAAAAGAAGTAGAGGAGAGTCCAGGAAAATAAGAGGGGAGTTGTACAAGAAGCCGTCGAATTGAAGGGAAAAAGCGGAGAGAACGGTCAGCTGCTGCTAACTGACAGGGAAGGCGGTGAGTTATTTCCATTTCAGGATGGATTATATAATATCATATGACGTGTTCAACCCGGAGGGAATGCCAAGAAATACAGTGACTATACCTACTCCCCAGAGTGTTTAGAGTCGTCTACATCGTAGACTTAGTGGACTTCGAAATTAGTTACAATATTTGCTTTTTTTTATTCTTCATTAAAACCCCTTAGAGATGGAGTACAAAAAAGATCATCAAAATAGAAAACAGGGAAAGATGATGTCATGCACTGAATGCAGAACGGGGATTCGATCGCCCGATTGGAGGAGATTGAGGGGGTTGGGGCTAAGAAGGGCTAGAATCAAGACGTGATATTCCCAACGTGGGGAAAGTTGCGGAGGGAGAACGCTCAAATGCATCGAAATCCAAGAGGGCCATGAATCAAAACTGGGACAAAAATTAAGGGAGTAAAAAAAGGAGTAAAAACTTGGCTAGAGAATGTGTGGATGCTTGAAAAGAAGAAAAAGATAAACCAAAGTGAACCAAAGACCCCTGTAGATCCTGGTGAGGTGAAAGAAAACTGAAAGAAAATTGAGAACAAAGAGAGAATTGGTGGAAATTGAAGATGTGGTGAGATCCAAAAAAAAAAAGAAGAGAGAAGAAGAAGAAGAAGAAGAAGAGAAGATAAGAGAAGATGATTTATCACTGCCCATAATATTGACTGGATTGTTGAGGATAGTAGAAGGTCGTGCCTGGCGGTGTCATCATCCCACCCATGCCAACCACACCCCCAGGCCCAGATCCCGATCCCGGTCCCGGTGCGGGACCTCCGTACACATTATTGGTATCATAAAAGTAGACGGTGCCCCCAGACTCATGAGCAACAGTACCCGGTGGAGGGGGCTGCTCCCCAGCTAAATAGGGCATTGCTTGCTGGCCCGGGAAATTTGGCGCAGAGGCTCCGGGCCCAACGGGTCCATTGTAACCCGCATAATCGGGCCCTGAAGGTGGGTAATACATGCCCGAAGGATAACTCGGAGGGTAGAAGCCAGGCTGATGGTAATTGTAGGGTTGGAAGGGCGGTGCGTGAATCGCCCGCTCCGGAATCTGGGAAAGCGGAGTGGCCGAAGGCTGACTGGGTGGGCCATGGGCTGGAAGAGGGACTTGGTGGTGGAAAGGCTGCTCATGCTGGGGTTGAGGCGGGTTGAAAGCAAACGGGAAAGTCGCTGGGCTTTCAATGTCCGCAACGGAGACGGTCTTCTGAGGACGAGGTTGGTGCATAGGGATCGGGGCGGGGCGGCTTTCGCGATAGGCCGGGTGAGGAAGGGACATAGCCATTGCAGGTCCAAATGGTGGGATCCCGACAGGCGGACGAGGTGGAGGGGGAAGGCGGACAACGGGCTTGGGGTCGGTGGGAATTATAGGTCTGGAGTAGACAGACCCAGCAGGTGACGGCCACCCATCCTGTGAAGGCGGCATGCCAAATGAAGATCGACGGCTGACAACGCTAGGCGTGTAAGAGGAGTTGGGGTAGTAGCTGGGACGTCGTCCACTGTACCAGCCGCCACCACGACCACCTCGACCACGAGAGACTTGGTTCGGCCGCAACGCGCGGGGGATGAATATAAAGGAACGTTCAACCGAGGGGAATATGTATCGGGGCGGCTGGCTGGGAAGAGAAATTCGAACCGGCTTGTCGCGTCGCAAGGGGGGTCGGTGTTGAGGTAGCCGGGTGTGGAGTCTCTTGGGCACGGAAGAAAAATGAATTGGACTGGCCATACCAGGCAAGGAAACAACGACAGGTACATTCCCAATCAACGTAGTGCTAGAGAAGGACCGGTTGGGCGGGGACGATCTAGGGGCGGTGGGGACGGATGCGCCAGTATTAGGCATCGCGGACGGTGTTGGGCGCTTTGCTGTAGGTCGATCCTCGCCAGCCACGGTATCGTGGAGATCGTGTGCCCACTGCCCTCCGCTGGCATCGGGCTTGGAAGACCTGAGTCATGTTAGTAAGAAACATGATTGGGGAATGGAATGGAACATAACATACCTGCGAGAGCTGCCATCTACGATCAGGCCGTAGGGGCGAGACTTGCTCTTGAGCCGGTGACCGTTGTCGGTGGATCGCTTGTCATGAAGGAAAAAGCTGCCGCGGGTGGGAACGAAGGCTGGGTTCTGCTCTCGTTCCTTGACATACTTTTCATTCTCACGGCGCTTTCTGGAAGCCAAATTGTTTCGATTTGGCTCGGTTGGAGGGGCGGAGGGTGTTCTTCCAGGGTGAGCCTCTTGTTGTTCCTTGAGATCGTCGAAATGAACCTCCGCAGCATCGCCCGCACTGTCTGAGATCTTCAGGCCGTTCAACATTGCCTCTGTATCTGAAACGGTTGTCTTGAGTCCTCGCTTTTCAGGCGATACAGAGCTGCTCCGTGTAGATTTATCCACCCCACGACCGTTGACCTTGCCCGCCTTATCCAACGTAGAAACCTCGTCCTCGCTCTCTTCGCTGACTTCTCCGTCCGCATCTTCGTCCTCTTGGTGACTGTCAGCCGAGCCTTCACTCAAAGAGTCGTCTCCCATGTCCCCAGCCATTGAACCCTCTTCTTCGCCATCTTCCTCCCGTCTCTTTCTGCGGCTAGCCCCGATATGACGTCGAAGAGGAGCCATGTCGAAGACGCAAGGGATTAATCACTTGGAGGGGAGGCGTAGATGTTCTCTGTTGACACACGCTTGAATTTGTGGTTATCGGGACCGGGTTGGCTTAAAGAACGGAGTATGTTGAAACAGAGGGCGTTGAAGGAACGATAAACCAGTGGAATAGCAAATGAAATCAGGAAAGATCAAAATAGTAAGATAGGCTAGAAGGAACAAAAAGACACCTTGTGCAAGAAGTATAACCAAAATGAAGAGAAAGAAGAGAAAGAGTAAGGGGGGAATAAGAAAGGAGGTGCAGCCAAAGAGAGATGAGAAGTACAGAGACTCGAGTACAGAGAAAGGGCATGACATCGCGGGAGACGTCAGGCCTGATCGGGCCTAGTTCAGGCGGTGAAGCTTGTTCTGCCACGACCGGGCCTAGAATTGCTTTCTTAAATGTTACTTGATTTGGTTAGTGCCTGGCAAGCTAAATATTGACATCTATGGATAGAAGGCTTGATTATAAATATTGAGATTGTGTGAGAATTTTTGCTTGATTTTTGGTAAATTCGAGGTTGCGCTCTAATATGCAGGCCGGGATGTTGTGATATCCGGAAGTATACATGCATTTTTTTTTTTTGCGCATTCCACTGCAAACTGTGCCACCGAGTAATGAACTCGATGATCATGAATATCTGAGAGATCGTACACATATTGAAAATTATGACCCAAAGGTCCCGTTTGAGTCACAGGGTAGACCACGGTCGGAGTTTGATCCCAATGCCACCTTCGATTGCAGGCAGATCATTGACAGGTATCAGAATTTCACTGATACATATTGTGTATGAGATGATTGAATGGTGCTGTAGAAAGACCGCAGATGATACTCCACGAATCGCAGATGAGTAACTTAGTCGAACGTGGTCTTCTGACCTTGGCCCTCGACAATGGCACCACTGAGCTTCTGGACAGTTTCCTTGGAGTAGCGAGAGTCATCGATGGATTCACGTCTCTTCTTGTGTCGGGTTCTTTCTCGTGATTCGCCATCGACTTCGGTAATAGCGGGTTCATCCTTCTTCTCGGCGTCTTTTCCAAAGCGCTTCTTGTATCGTGTAGACGCATCTTCGGCAAATTCCATTCGCATACGGCGGCCCATAAGCTGGTTCACCCAAACCCTTTGCATCCGAGGCTTTAGCTTCTTCGACTTCTTCTTCTTCTCGGATGCGGAGTCGGAATCACTGTCGGAGGAATCCTCTTCGCCGTCATCCTCCTTGACCAACATGAATCCTCTCACCGCTGCTTCTGCGGCAGCGAGTTCTTCAAACTCCACCCACGCATAACCCTTGCATTTTCCGGTGTCTTGGAAAGTCGCCATATGCACGTTGGTAACAGTCCCGCATTTGCCGAAGTTTTCTTCGAGGTTTTCCTTGGTCACATCGAAGCTCAGGTTGCCGACGAAAATCCGCTTGGAAGGGGGGTGGCCAGACTTGGCTGCACCCGCAGCATTCTCTTGGGTTTCGGATTTCTCAGGGCGACCTTCAAAGTTGTTTGCATCCTTGATAAGCACGCGGCGGCCGGTCATGAGCTGCTCGCTTAGGCCAATTGCTTCTTGCAAAGACTTCTTGTCGGTGAAGTCGACATAAGCAAAGCCTCTGTTCTGTGACCTCCCAAATCTTTCGGGGCCCTTGGGGAGATGGATCCGAGTGATATCGGATTCGGAGATGTCGGAGTTGACAGTGAAGAACATGCGCAGCTCTTCTTTGGTCACAGTAAATGATAGGTTTCCAATCCAGATACCATATTGGGACCGCTTCCCCTCTGTTTCGGCTTCTTTGGATTCGGGTTTGTTGGACTTGCTGGACTTGGGTTTTTCATCATCACCCGCATCACCTCCTTTGTTCTTTTTCGCTTTGCGCAGGGCCTTTTTTGAGACTGGTTCGGGTGCAGAGACATCGATTTCAAGCTCAGGACCGTCCTGCAGCTTGCGCTTCTTTTGACTGACTTCGGTGAGTTCCGACATGATGCGACTGGTATAAATAGTGTGATGATCACTAGAATAATGGTCAATCTATCAAAGTTCTAAGATTATTTCCGGTCACAAGAAATCAAAGCAATAATTTAATTTTTTTTTACGGCGGCCAGGACCCGCCTCCCACGCAGCCCGATCCGCTTCTTGGCGCGAACGCGCAGGGTGACCACATCCCCTTCATCTCTTCTGAACTTCTCTCCGCCATAACAACATGGCAGAACCAGACGACAACCGTGTTACTGAAAGTTTGCCAAATGCACCAACGGCTGCACCAGCTCCTGCAAAGCAATCAGTCCGGTCATTCAAGTACGAGTCCTCACAATCAGCCTATCGGACAATGCTGACTTCTCTTTTCTCTCTAGGAAGAAATATGCCAAGCTGAAAGTCAGGTTCGAGCTAGGAACTCGAGAGAGTGAGAGTTTGATCCGGGAAGAATTGCGCATAGAGGACCTGTCCAAGCGCATTCAGGAACAAAACGAGTATGGGACTTACAAATCCCCTTCCCCTGTATGAATGATTGCTAATGCCTTGGTTTCAGTCAATTGCTTGAGGTTCTCCTCGAGTTCAACGAAAGCCTACATGTTTCTCCCGACGTGCGATTCGATCTGAGCATGCCAACCGACCCTCCCTTGCTACCTACTGCCGAGCAGGAAATTGTACCTTTGATCAACGATGCAGCACTAGCAAAACAAGCATGGAAGGAAGCCAAAGCTGGCTTGACTGCTGGTAGCATTGATACAAGTGCTTATCGTATCATTGAAGACAACATCAAACGAAACAAGGCGTTTGCACCAGCCCAACAGTATAGCACCCTGTCACAGACCCACCACATCACGACAGACGCCGTTGAAAAGAAGCCCGACAATGATTGTGAACGCCAACTTGGATACTTTACGCCCGAGCATGAGACAGAGTACTATCTCGCCTTGGACGCCAAGCTAGGCGATGAGGCGGCTGCTACGCAGCTCGCACGCATTCCAGATCGTCCCACGTTTGCGGAGCGTGAGCGGGATCTTTCCATGCGGAATCCCGCATCGGTATACAACTGGCTGCGTCGCAACCAACCGCAGACTCTCCAAGATAATGAGGTTGCCTCTGAAAAGTCTGCATCACGACCTTCCAATCAGCGATCTTCCAAGCGAGCGCCGGCTCAACGCAAGGATGAGGACATGTATGATGAGGATGGGACAGAGGCCCAGCCTACTCCTAAGAACAAGCGCAAGCGTGAAGAGGATACTGGTTATAGACCCAAGGGCGGTAGCAGCCGGTCGAAAAAGAAGAAGGAAGAGCCTACTTCCAACCCAAGCAAAGTGGCCAAAAAGCCTTGAGCGGTTGCTTTATAAAGGGATTTCATTTTTGTGTATTAATACTGGCGTTGGCTTGATTCACTGGTTTCAAATGACATGGACGGATAATTAGCATTTTCAATCTAAGATAATAGTACGAATATGTAGTCTCCATGAGATATCAGGGTAAGTAAATACATTCTGAAATTAGGTACATTTTGTATGGTGTGCCTATACAGAATATACCTACAGGTAGGATACAAAACTCATATGTAATAACCAATTTTCATCAACCCTAGAGCTTGCTAAAAGATCAATAAAAGTACTAAGGTATGGAATAAGTATAAGTAAATCGTTCTACACTGAGATCCACATACGTACAAAGATTTTACATCAATTGAGAGAGCATTGAACTTGAATATTCCGTTTAAGTATGTTGTATATCTTACCGATATTCATGCCAAACTAATTTAAAACCTTTTCAATGATATTTTATATAGACCTATAATCTCATGTAGCTACATACATGTATGTATATAGGGAGTTGAGAAAAAGGTAGATATTATGAATTTTATACCATATGTACTCTTTGTATGGGAACACTATACAAAATGTACCGAATACTTCGTCGTCGCCAATAGGCCGAAGTGTTCGAATTTGGTAGGCGACCCCATCGACAATATTGAATCTGCGGGGCTCGTTATTCTCTGGATCTGAAAATAGAAGTCCTTTAGAGGAAGCGTTGATAAAATATAGCCGACCAATACAAGCCTTAGGACTGTACCTCCAATCCGTGCTTTCTCTTGTAAATATTGTAAATATCCTTGAAAGTTTATGGCTGTGGTGGAGCTATCACGTGACCTTGATTTTCTTCCCTCGAGCAACCCATCTGGATGCCTCCACTCCCATTTGGAAGTCAACCGCAATCACAGACAACATCCTTTGCAATGGCAATTACTATTCTACCCCCGGTGGTAGAGAACGCCCATTTCTATGAAGTCGACTCGGATGACGACATCTCCATGGACTCTGAGGAGGACGTTGAAATGACTGGCATTTCCCGGCCTCATAAGCGACCCCGGTTACAAGGAAACTCGAATATTGGCACAGGAATTGTCACACCAGGCGAAGTGGTCACAGATGATCCGCAATGGATGAGGTTGGTGCAATCTTGAAGACTGCGGAAAAAAAAAACAAATACCAAAACCGCGGGGCTCATATTGTCATTTTTTTTTTTAATACTAACAATCTACAGAGGTCACGGCACCTATATGAACCCGCTCTCGACATCTATCATTGCCACCGTTGCCGGTACAGTTCAAAAGACAAATAAGCTACTCTCTGTTCACCCTCTGCGCGCCCGCTATACCCCCGAGATTGGAGACCTCGTCGTTGGCCGCATTGTTGAAGTGCAATCACGACGTTGGAAGGTCGATGTTGCCGCACCGCTACTTGCCCAGCTCCCTCTTTCCGCAATCAACCTGCCCGGTGGTATTCTGCGTCGACGAACAAGCGCCGACGAGCTCCAGATCCGAACATTTTTCAGCGAAGGCGATCTTGTAGTTGCCGAAGTGCAGAGCGTACACCAGGATGGGTCGGCGTCACTACACACACGGTCCCTGAAGTACGGGAAACTGCGCAACGGTGTGTTCCTTGCCGTTACAGGAACTGGCGGCAGTGGAGCGTCTAGCTCTAGCGTTAAGGGCGGTGTTGGGGCTGGGAATTCGGCTTCAGGCAGCGCGTTGGCTGCTCCTGGTGGCTCTGGTACTGGCGGTGTAGTGCGGTCTCGTCGACAGGTATGGACGGTTCCCGCTGCCAATGGTGGTGGTGAGGTGAATATCATCCTTGGAGTGAATGGGTACATCTTTATCTCCAAGCACGCCGATGGGGACGATGCCGCATCCTCAACTACGGAGAATGTCTCCATTACGCGCATGGAAGAGATGGTGTCGAGTTCAATCTACTCTAGTCAGAACGACGATATCTCACCACAGACCCGTCGGGAGATTGCACGGTTGGCACAGTGTATTCGGGTTTTAGTACAGAGCGGAGTGCGCGTGGATGAAGAGACGGTTATGGGTGCTTACAATGCTAGTCTGCAGGTGGATTTGGAGATTGGGGACGATGAAGACGACGAAGATGAATGGCGACAGGAAGGTCGTGAGTATTTGGAGGGCGCCAAGGCCCAACAGATCCTCGAGTTGGTGAAGCAACAGCTGTAATGGGTTCTACCTGCTCGGATGTATGATAATGATACCCCTCAAAGATAAAAGGGAACACTTAACAGGCGTAATGTCAAAGTCCATGTCCAACAGCCTGGGATTGCAGATATCACTATATCACTATATCAATCCGTCTACTCTGGAGTAGATGGAAGGATCCCACAGGTCTTGTCTTGTAGTCTACTGATGTGTCATAGCTTTGACAATCTTGGAAGTAGAAACCGTAAGTGGACCAAATCGGCCAATATAAGCCAATTATCAAGGCCTATGGGATCAGATCTGCCCAGGTGTATTTTGTAACGTATGACTTGACATGGGCTGAGCCATGAGTGCTCTCGAAGACAAATCACTAGAGTATAGTTCAATCGAACAATCGAACAATCGAACAATCGAACAATAGGCAATAGATATATCTGATTGGAAATTCCGACAATAGCCTGGAACAATGCCTTGTTCAATGCCTTCAATGCCTTCAATAAATAAATCAATCAATAAATCAATCAATAAATCTGTGGAACAAAATGTAAACGCAGCCATCTGATAGGCTTACATACGCAGTCACGAGTCAACCCATTTACTTCGTATTATTCTTGTTCTTTGTTTCTCTCTCTTTTCTTTCCTTTACTATACTCGAATCCTTTTGAGAACATGCCCAATCACTTACTTCTTTCTCTTCTAATTCTCGACTATTGTCCAGTACCCATAGGTTAAAAATAACCTTTTCCTCAGCTTGATCCTCTCCTACTACTCCCCGTACTGGGTTCCCCAATTTATTCCATCTTTTTCAAAGAACTTTCTTCCTATCATCTCATAGTCAAGATGCCCGATCTACGTCGCCAGATCTTCGAGAGCGGCAAGACTGTCTCACGCAAGGCAGCGTCCCGTGAAGCATCCCGCACCAACTCCCCCGCTAGTTCGAAGCCGACCTCGCGTCAGGGTTCCCGCAATGCCAGTAGAGCTCCTTCAGACGAAGAAGACTCGGGTTTCCTTTCTGATGAGACATCTATGAGGTAAGCGAATATAACCCCTTGCAGCGTTTTCTCTTTCTCTTTTTCCTTTTTTCCTTTTCCTTTTTTTTTTTTTGTATCTTCACATGGTCCCCACTCCCGTGGCGGGATGATGTCACCAATGATGTCGGCAAGTTTTACAATCAAGGCACTAACCAAGTTGGGATAGTATTGGCAGTATCGGATCTCTCGACGATGAGCACCCCGAACAAGATAATCCCAATTGGGAACAAGAACTCGGCGAGCGTATTCAAGAAATTCTCGATCGCAAGCGCAGCAGTGTCCAAGGCCGCGAGGAGGCCCTGCAGGCATTCTGCCGCCTGACAAAATACCACTATACAGTGGAAGAAATCCACGACGCCGTTCCGGACCTACTGGCGGCATTTGAGCGAAGTGTCCGCACCGAAGTCAGTGTCCGTGAAGCAACCCTTGGCTTGCGCGCTATCGAGTTGCTTGTCATCTCAGCTTTCGACAACACCGTTTACGAAAACACCGAGCCCTTGCTCACCCGTACCATCCGTGACTCCCACTCCCCTCTTGTCAAGACAGCCGCTATTCACTGCCTTGGGGCATGCACTATCTTTGGAGGTGCCGGTGAAGATGGCATGCTTGAACAGATGGGTTTCCTCCTGGACATCATCGCCTCTGACGGCCAATCCATCGATGCCACAGACGACCCCACCATTGTAACCGCTGCGCTCCAGCAATGGGGATTCCTCGCCACCGAAGTCGATGATTTCGAAGAAGAAAGCGAAGAAGCAGTCCAGATCTTCATGGATCAGCTGGACAGCTCCGATTCCAACGTGCAGATTGCAGCAGGCGAGAACATCGCCCTACTCTATGAGAAGAGCTACAGCCCCCAAGAGGACGACGAAGACGAGGAGAGCGCAGAGTCCAACGACAACAGCGACGAGCATGAGCATGAGCACTATCCCACATCCGGTCCCAAGCTCGTAAAACGATACAACGCCTACCACAACACTCCCGAGCTGGAGAGCCAACTTCAGACACTGGCCACCATCCACGGCAAGCAGATCAGCAAGCGCGACAAGAAGTCACTCCACAGCAACTTCGCCTCGATCCTCACCACTGTCGAGAACCCACGTCGCGGTCCTCGCTACAACACCGCCATCGACCAGAACACCAACCGCCATTACGGAAGCACTCTCACCGTCAAGATCGGCCGCCACGGACTCATGACTATCGACCGCTGGTGGAAGTGGGTGCGACTCAATGCTTTGCGCCGTATCCTGCAGGGCGGCTTTTCCGAACACTATTTCCAAGGTAACCGTTCCGTTCTCAACAGTCTTCCTGTCATGATGCGCATGGCGGATCAGGGTCACAACTCGGCGGATCGCCAGACGGCACGCAAGGCAGCCAAGATGCGCAACTCGCGTCGCTGGACTACTTACCAATCCGATGATGAGGACGAGTAAATGAGTACCTGGTATGTTCCATCGGTGATTGCTTAGCAATTGAATGATGAATAAAAGGAGTAATCAGATACTTTTCAGTTGTTCAATTTTCGACATGGGATACGATAGCTTAGGGTTTCATGCCACAAGACGGATTCCAGCTTCTTTTCTTTGATATTTCTCTGTTTTTCTGCTTTCGTGTGTTTTTCATTTGTCTCTGTCCACTTGACTTACTTTTCATCCAACCTTGTACTTGACGAATGATACTCCGCTTTGAGCATTCATTATACTTATGATATTCAATAAACTGTTCAAGTGAACAATAGTCCCAAGGAAAAAGTCCGGATTTATCTTTATATAGAGTGAAGAAGGTCCTGCCCAAAACACCTCACCCACAGAGCTAAGCCCCATCTCTCCTGTATGATGTGCATGTATGATGTGCATGTCCAATAGGATATAACTACTAGAATAATCCCCAAAAGCTTAACCAACATCAACAACCATCCAGTCTAACCCTCTAATCCTCAAACACAGGCACAACATTAGTCCAGCTCCCCCTAGCCCTCTCCTCCCAATATCCATCCTTCCCACCCTTAAGTCGCCAAGCAATCTCCCCATCAGAGTCATCACTAACCCGCGTAAACCAGCGCGGAGTCCAACTCTCCCCAGTATTTTCCATCTCGCGCCTACGCGCACGTTGGCCCTCCTCGAGCTGCACCTTAACCTCCTCCGCGTGGTCGAGGTCACCGTTTTCCAGCGCGCGCTGGTCAGGACGTAGACGGGAGTCCGTGACAGGCAGATGCTTATCCTCGATAGAGGTGATTTCATTCAGCGCGGCGGCAAAGGACGTGAGACCGTAGTGCTTTGGCGCAGAGGGGACGAGCGAGCCGGCGGTCCAGATAGTGGTACCGGTGGGATTACCGTCGCGGGTGAGAGTCAGCGAGGAGGGCCAGGAGCCGGATAAGCCGAGGGCTACGGGGTTATTGTTTGCATCGACGGTGCGGGTGGAGACTTCCTCACTGCGGCCGGAGAACATACCGCCGGCTTTGAAGGTTGAGATAGAGCGGTGGCCGGTGGACTCATTCGTGACGGCTAGCTCGCCGACGGGCTCGACGTATTTCTCGCCTGCGATGATGTTGCGTAGGAATGATGTTGCGGGCGTCCAGCTGTAGCGGTCGCCGGTGCTGTGTAGGGTAATGCGAACGCGACCTTCGGTTGTGATCTCGGCGGATTTGCCCCAGAATTTCTGGCTAGGCATCGGCGATTGCGAGATGCTCCATTCTTTGCTGTCGGCTTGGTAGGCTAGTTGCACCGGCCGGTGTGAGACTTTCTCTGCGATGAAGCGGAAGCCTCGGTCTTCGCGGACGAGCTCGTAGGTCTCGCCTAGCATTGGGTTGAACGGTTTGCGGATGGAGCGCTCGCGGACGCGGTTGCTCGAGAGGGAGGAAACTGCGAAGGCAGTTACGTAGATCAGGCGCTCGACGGGGTCTTTGGATTGGGTGGCCTGGTCAAGCAGATTTGAGTACTCTAGGACCTCGGCGGCGCGTTGCAGGAGAGACATGGGTTCATTTGCGGACACCGGCATCGAGATTGTGGACAAGTCCTTTCCGACGTTCTTGCGCAGGAACCCAATCAAGCTTGGGGGCAAAACCGTTGGGGCGAGGATATTCGCGCGGCGTTTTATGGGGTCTAGAGGCAGCGGGATCAACGATTTGGGTCTGACTGGGAACAAGCCCGATGCGCTGCTGCTTTCCTGGCGAGTTGCTGCCGCGTCAGATTCACCGTCACTGTCAGAGGGGGCGTCGTCCTCAACTTCCTCCGCAGCAGAGGCAGGCCGGTCCTCTTCGGGCCCTTCGTCGTCGCTGTCATGGATGGTTAGGAGGGGAGACCTGTCACCACCACCTCCATCTGTTGCATCAAAGAATTCTTGTGACATGTCAGACTCCATGCTCCGCCGGGGAACCATAGATGGCCGAGGCGGGTGCCGTCGCTCCTTGCTCTCGGTAATCAGCGTGGAGAACTCAGAGACCGCAGCGTCAAGATCGCGTAGTACCGCCATCAAATGGTCATGGATCTCATCCATGCTGTCTACGTGACTAGTGACACTGGCAGGCTTCCCCTTACTGTCAGTTGCAGGCACCACAAGCTGCGAGGAACTGGAGTTCGTGGTCATGGCCGGTGGTCGCTTGCTGTTGGGATTCGACGGTCCACTTGTCTTGCGCTTCCAGAACGGCCGTTTGGCCTCCGCCTCACTAGTAGTCTCATGGGTACTGCGCTGGGGACTAGGGGATCGGCCACGCGAACGAGGCCGGTCGACAGGAGTTGGGAGGGGTGAGGCAAGATACTTGGGGTCTGTATCCTTGGCAAGCCGGCGTATCGCATCTCGCGATCCGGAAATATGGCCAACAAGGCTCTCAACGCGAGTCCATTCACTCTCCTCCGCCGGGGAGGGCTGTGATGGAGCGTACAGCCGCAGCTCCGGAGGGGCGGCTAGACCAGCATTATGTTTGTCCTTGGAAGCTTCTTTGGAGGAAGCTCTCTCGAGGGCACTCTTCCATGCACCAAATTCATGCTCGTTATTAGCACGCAAATGCCAGATCTCAGTACCGGAATCAATAGAGATCTCACGGGACTTTTCATTAGTCGCAACAGCCGCTAGCGAGAGCGGGATCGCGCCTCGCAGTGCGGACGAATTGCGGTCATGATAATATGACAGCGTACACGAAGTAAAGTCCAGCGAAAAGAACCGCCGCGCCCAGCCCTGGTGACGCTTTCGTCGCCGCTTCTGAAGCAGTCCCGTGTGGATACTTTGGTTCGACACGTCGACGTGCTGCGAGTTGAGCGTGGCTCGGCTGTTGCCTCGTCGGCGGGTCTTAGGCTGCGGCAGCGACTCGGTCGATGCCCCTGGCTGAAGGCGTGTGGCAATCGATGCGGAGCTATGTGGCTGAAGGCCGGTCGGATAGGTGAGGAGAACAAGTGTCAAGGTCTTAGAGATTTGTTTGGAGAATGTGTTATCGAAAACGAGCGCATAGTTGCCCCCTTCGCTGAACGGCACATCGTAAGTCCCCTGTGTAATCTTGTCTGCCTCACACTTGCCCGTCCATTTGATTGTTTTGAGCCCAATTCCCGTCAGCTTCTCGATAACGGCAGATTGTTGTTGCCGTGCGCCGGCAGTCGTCGCCGTTGCGGGGAGGTTCTCGGTGGAATCGGTGCTCTGGGAATCGGAGGCAGGAATATGAGTGCTCAGAGCAGATGATTGACCTGGGTGTTTGAAGATGCCAAAGTTGACGGACTTCTTGTGAGGTTGAATACTCCACGAGATGGTGTGGTTGGCGCTGACATTGATCCAACGTACAAAGTACGACTAGAGAGATTAGTTGAGACCAAGTCTTTTGCTATAACAAATCCTACCTTGCTGTGAATCTCCAGCTCTTCCATGGCCGCCATAATTGCGCAGTGAGGGGTTGCAAGAACCGCAATGTGTCCGTCGCGGTCCGGGTGCGGCTGAACGTGGCGATGCGGGGGATAAGCCACACGATGTCACCGGAACATTCGGGAAGGGCAGCTTTTAATTAAAAGGGAATTCAAGGAATGCGATCGAATACAAGGAAATGCGAGGACATGCAAGGACATGCAAGGATATGCAAGTAACTAACAGAGGGGTAGTAAAAGTGGAAGTTGAAACCGAGGCTGATAAGTTCACATGGTAGATCTTTCGTCTCAGTTCTTTCAGCCCTTTTCACCTAGGCACCTACGTAATACAGCCTATACAATCCCGTCTCTACACACATACATCAGCTGTAGGGATGTAGGTAATTCCACAAATCGCTTGAAATTCATTGATAATGGTTACATGTCATGCCAAAGGTGTATCAAATTAAAAGAAAGTAGGAAATTCCATCCCATCTTTTCTGGGATTTTGGGGGGCTTTTTTGGAATAGATAGTACACTGTACAGACGAGAAACACTCATCTCCGGCCGCCCTTGCTCATGTTGCTGAACATCAGCTTAAAGCCGTTGCACAGTGCATGCATATCCGGGTAGGGGTTCTTCTGCAGTTCATAGCCCTGAGGAATCACCTTGACCGGCCAGTTCTGAAGTCGCGCATGTTCGCCTGCCTTGAAGCAAAGGTAAAAGTAACCGGGGTATTTAGCGTTGATACAGAATGCATATGCCGAGCGGCGGGGATTGGCCTTGGTATAAGTTTCGAGCCATTGATCTATTGGATTGGATGTTAGTTGGATGCTAGTTGGATGGATAAGATTGCCAAAAACATACCTGTCTCAGTCTTGCTGCCTTCTTGGAACTTCTCGTGCAGAATCATCTCGCTAACCTTCTTGGCCATCGCTTTGACGTGATTGACGATCAGGTCATCCAGGTCACTGTAAGTGTACCGACCACCGACCTTGAGGACACGGCCGACAGAGAACTCGTTCTCTTTGTCCAGCTCGAGAACATCAATGTGCTGGTACACACCTTGCGCCACCTTCCAAGTGACAGCTAGGTGATCGTGGCCTCGGGAGGATGGGCGAATGACAACATCGCCTGGGCTTTGAGAACCTAAGAACTCCTCGGCCTGGGTGGAGTTGAACGGCCGGAAAAGCGGGTGCTTGATAACACGCATGGCTTGACCGCCACGCTGCGTCTTCTCCTGCAGCGACTCCTTATCGGCTCGCTCCTGCTGCTCGTCCCAATCGCCGAAGCCATGATCCTGGTTTCGATGAGATGGGTGACTGACTTGATCCTCACGTAGAGAGACGTTGCAAGAGAAACCCTTGCGGTTTAAGAACAGGATCTTGGCCGGGACTGTCTGGTGGACTTGGTATGCGTTGCGTACAGGGGTGTCGTAGGGAACACCGAGTTCGGTTTCGGCCACAAGCACATCAACTCCGCAATCCAATTTGGCCTCAATGTGATCCTCGAATACCCGCTTGATGGCAATGGGCACCACCATGCCAGGTGTTAAAGAGTCGGGCGTCTCGCCAGTGAGCATTGTGAAAATATCGTCGGTGCCGAGGAAGACATAGTGCTTGCGCAATTCCTCGTAGGGTTGTTGTAACTCGGCTCGGATCGTCTCGAGGGTGGCACGCTTGCGTTGGTTGAGGTTCTTCTCGAGCTGCTCTGCATACTCCTCCAGAATAAGATCATTGACACGGTCCTGTGCCTCTTCCCGGAACAGCTTCCGCATGATAGCCCCAGTGCCGTTCTCGTCGGTCTCGGCCTTGATATCTTCCTCGTCCAACTCTAGCGCATCAGCGGCCATCTTACGCGCAATATCGTAGTCTTCGGGATGCACACGGGTGTTGTCCAGCGGATCAGCATCGGGATCAGCGTTCTCGAAATCGATGTAGACGAAACTAGCACAGTTGTTCCAAACCTTGACACCCATAGCCGGGTATGTCGCGTTGACACCAAGCAATTCCACCCGATTGTTTACAACTCCGCCGTTCATGTTGACAATCTTGAGCAAGTGAGCCGCCTTTCGGGGACCAAGGCCGCAGACATATGGTAAGAGATTAGCTGTCGCCGTGTCTGCCACTGCCTCGTTGAGGTCAACACCGACCAAGTTGACCATGTCCACCAGGGCGGTTTCTAGCTGCTTGAGAAGCATGTCCTGGGAGACTAGTTGCTGGCCTGGTTTAAACTGGATGGAGACAACATCACGGCCCAAGGACGCATATTCCTTGAGCGGGCTCTGCAAGTACCGGCCTAGAGCAACACAGTAATGGGTCAAAGGGCCAAAGCCTGGGTTGTCACTTCTGGCGCGAGGGCTATTGTGGTACAACCGGGCAACCTCATCATTGACAATGACCACCTCTAAGGGGTCGCTGATCTCTTCATCGTGCTCATTTGTGTAGGATGCACCACGTAAGTCTTTTTGGTCGACAATTTCGGATACAAGCTTGTACAGACGGCGCGTCTCTGGCGTCATGCCTGAAACACCGATGACATCTGGTCGACGACGATCTATCAAATCCACAAAAGCGGCCACGTTCCCACCGTCGGCAATGCCACGGCTCTCATCACCTACTGAAAGATCGACGAATTTGCCATTCTCCAAGACACGGCCATCTTCTTCTGTGTAGGCCCAGTGAATGGGGTCCCGGCCCACCTGACCAGATCCGGTGGAGAGAGTGAGAACACGGGGCACTGTGCCTAGGACCATGCCCTTGGGTTTGTAAGGGGCCTGGTCGAGACGTTGTGAGAACGCTTCGCGGCACTCTTTGGCCACATGGTTCTCACATTCCTGTCGAATGTTTTCCTTCACACTGCGATTGATCAACCTTTCCAGTTTGCCCAGTGCCAGATCCAGCACCTCACGGCGAACACGGTTCCAAGCATCAGCAATCTCACTGTAGTTGTCTGACTCAATATCGGCGTAGAGACGTTTACGGAATTGATCAAAGTTTTCAAATCGCACCCGGACGTCAACAAGTCCTTCTTCCTCGGCCTTGAGCATGCGCAAGAACATCTCTGGGCGACGGGCAATATCGCTTAGCTGTTGGTTGCGCAGATATTTGAATTCAGCGTAGGGATGCTGCTCATCAATCCGGCGAAGTCCTTTCTCTGTGCGGAAGCAATCGACGACTCCGTTCATGTAGTATGCCTGACGAATCACCTTGCGCATTTTAGGGCTGACAGCAAGTTCTTCGGCGAACATCGACTTAGCAGCTTTGAGAACATGCGAACTGTTGGAAAAGTCGTTGTCGACAAACTGATCTGCCAACTCTTCGGGCTGCTCAGTGGGATCTTCAGTGTATTGCCGGCGGCCTTCCTTGGAGGCATTCTGAGCAAATGCATCTGCAGTGATGCCAAAAGCACGCACGAAGCCATAAGCCTTGCCGTTCCGAACCCGCTCAAAGAAAGACCTGCCAGTGGCTTTTCGGCGTTGTGTTTCTCCAGTAGCCTCGCCGTTGACCTGATTGAGATCCCGTAGTTGTGAAGAATACTGGAAATGGATATAGTCCTGCACATCTTGGAGTTCCTCCATGGTCGCGGCCGCAGCAAGTTGATCCTCGACGTTGGAATCATTCACGTTGAAGAGACTTTGCAGGTTGTCGTATGTCTTTTTAATTGTACCACGCTTGTCGACCAAAGCGCGGAATTTGAGATCATGATCGAAGATATCCCATAGATCAGTCATATTGAGGAGTTTCTCGGCGCGGATGCTGTATTGGGCGGAGTCATCGTCGGGATCGGCCCCATTGGCCATATCTTTGACAGCATGAATCATGTAGTCCTTGCGATGCTGGAAAATGAAGGGCACTTCCCAATCATCCGTGATTAGGAATTCTAACATTTTAGCAACAGAGCGCTGGAATGGTTCGCGCAATTCCGGATCCATGCGCTTCTTGAGCAACATCAAGTTTGCGATCCAGACTGCCTCCTCCCGGAATTGATCCTCGGATAATGTCACATGCTTGTAAGGCTTGCGAGCAACCTGATGGCGTTCGGGTTCATCGAGGAGACGAATTTCGTTATCATCCTCCGTCAACATCCTCTCGGCCAGCTCTGATGGTTCAAAGACATCCTTCAAGTCTAGGTGACGTTCTTCGGTTTGTTTGTCTGCATCTTCTTGGTCTTCCATTTGTAGTGCGAAATCGTACTCTGTGCCATCACCGAATGCAGCGCGCATATCCTCAAGTGCATTTTCATCCAAGCCCGAGGTATCAGTCGGAATCAAGCCGGTCTTGTTGACTCTGGAGGCAGGCGCAACCCCAAGGTCATCCCGTTCGCGCTGGGCCTCGTCGTCGGAGAAAGTATCCTCTTCAATAAAGTCGTCCATCTCATCGCGCAGACCGCGGCGCTGGCCTGGTCTAGCATATTGTTGCGCTTCCTCCTCTTCGTCCGAGTTGAAAATATCGTCGACGCCTTGAGACGGTTGGTGGCTCTCGCGATCCTTGCCTCGTTTCAAACGCTTAAACTTTGACTAATATCAGAGCATCAGAATCTTGTCAAATGATGAACTGCAGCCTACATACCTCAGTGGTTGGTCCACGCTGTTGACTTGGACCATGTCCAATGAGTTCCAGATCTTCTTCATCAAGGTGCTCTTCTTCGCGAGCAGCGCGCGGACGTTTCCTATGTTTGCGAGCGGCACGTTCGTCTTCTTCGTCCTCATCCACAATGAAACCTTCACGGACCTAAAATTTCATCAGTAAAGAGATACAGCTGGGTGAAAGGTCGAAACTCACAGCGCGAGCAGCCTCCTCGTCATCTTCTTCTTCGTCTTCCTCCTCGCTCGAGTCATCGTAGTGATTGGTAGTACCTGCACCCTGGCGGCCCTCGGCATCATAGTCATCGGCGACTTCCTCATCGTCGTCATCCATGATCGCCTCACCCTCGATCAGGTCGCGAAGGCTCATCTTGAAGTAAAGATCCCTATTGCTAGGGACCGAGGAGAATGCGGTTACGGATGAAAGATTCAAGATACAATTGCGCAAGTGCGACACCAGGTAGTGCCCAGCTCGTTAAGACGGTCAAAAGTAAAACAGGGAGGGTGAAATTGAAGCAATAGTTGACAAGAGGAAGAATCACGGCCATCGGCGAGGAGAGGATGCGGGTGGCGGTGATTGGCTAGTGCTAGTGTGGCTAGACACTAGTCCTATTGGGGTAGCCTAATTGTGGCTTGCCTGATTCATGTCACGTGCTGATGTCTTTGTGTGTACATAGTATATTGTACATTCAACGATGCCCTGGTCGGATCCTTAATATGCATATATCGCTTTGTACTATTGATATAGGGTCGAGACTATCGAATATGCCCAAGTTCCAACATTATCACCCATCTCATTTAGCCATAACCCCGTCGCGTAAATCCACAAGGACCCAAAGCTAGCCCAAAGACTGGTGGAACCCCCGAAACACTTGTCGTTTCATTAATTATAGTAGCTTTCATAGTTCTTGAAGATCATCTCTCATTTTCTCCCTCTCATATTACCCGTAAAAATCCAACATACTTCTGTTTGGCGCCGACCGGCACATTTTGGTCATAGTTGGTCAAATCGACGCGCCCGCAAGGTCCAATCAGCGTCGCCAAGAACATCGCAAGGTGATATCGACTTCCCCGCTGTTAGCTCGGGGGTTCGTTCTGACCACTCTGATCCCATCGGCTTGGGTAACGCGGACTTGATATCACTCAGGCGACTGGGCTGTTCGTTTTCTTTCTTTCACAACTCTCCCCTTGTGCAACTCCAACGCCTCCAAGCGCCATGACGGACCCGTTCCAGGCTCGGACATTGAAACGCAAGAATGTCAAAGGTCTTGCTCTCAATGCAGCCCCTAAACCCACCTCCAATCCTACCGATGGCGATGCACAAGCCCCTGGGCTCGTTGGGAATAGCGAAGTCAACAACACAGATACGCTCGAAATCGGACTGGAGTTTCGCCTCGATCTTCGCAGTGAAGACCTGGTCACATTGAAAGAACTCGGCGCTGGAAATGGAGGTACTGTTTCCAAGGTGATGCACGCATCCACGAAGGTGGTGATGGCTCGAAAGGTGTGTATTGTGTATTGTGTGTTTCTGCTTGTTGGCCAGCTCTAATTTCCTCGTCCGCCCCGCAGATTATCCGTGTGGAAGCCAAAGAGAATGTACGGAAACAAATTCTACGAGAACTTCGAGTCGGGCATGACTGCAACTGTCCAAATATTGTCACTTTCTATGGTGCATTCCAAAACGAAGCGAGAGATATTGTACTGTGCATGGAATATATGGATCTTGGGTAGGCGGACCCATTTGGGAAACAAAGAGGATATAGCTGACGGGCAATTAGATCTCTCGACCGCGTTTCTAAAGATTTCGGCCCTGTTCGAGTCGATGTGCTGGGGAAGATCACCGAGTCTGTCTTGGCCGGTCTTGTCTACTTATACGAAACCCACCGCATCATGCATCGTGATATCAAGCCGTCTAATATCTTACTGAACTCCCGCGGCAACATCAAGCTCTGTGACTTCGGTGTTGCTACCGAGACAGTTAACTCAATTGCCGATACATTCGTTGGCACTTCCACATACATGGCTCCCGAGCGAATCCAGGGCGGCGCCTATACGGTGCGCTCTGACGTGTGGAGCGTGGGCTTGACGGTCATGGAACTGGCCGTTGGAAAGTTCCCCTTCGATCACTCCGACTCTGCTGCCGGAAACCGTGCTAGCGCAGGACCGATGGGGATTCTGGATCTACTCCAGCAAATTGTGCACGAAACAGCGCCCAAGCTACCCAAGAGTGATGCCTTCCCGCCTATCCTACATGACTTTGTTGGGAAGTGTCTCTTAAAGAAATCCGAGGAGCGCCCAACCCCACGAGAGCTTTATGTATGTTCATTTTTCATTTTGATCTGCAGCTCTTTTTCACGTGTACTAACTCCTTCCAGGACAAAGATGCCTTCTTGCAGGCCGCGAAGCGCACACCAGTAAACCTCGAAGGATGGGCAACGAGCATGATGGACCAAGAAAAGCGCAAGTCCTACTTGGGACCACCAATACCAACATCACTCTCTAGAGAGGCCTCGACATCAGCCTCAAAATCGACTTCATCTCCTCCCGCAGTTCCCACATCAACCAATATCGGCAAGCCCCCTCTCATCAGCAAGCCAACACGGACCCCACAGCAGTCACCATTCCCTTCAAACCCAGTATCAGGCGATATCCCTCTAAGGATCGCCAACGAGGTCCCATCTAGCCACCGTCACTACCCGCAGTCCCAACCCCAGCCCCAGCCTCAATACTACTCATCGTCCTCGTCCCGAGCCACGCGTTCTCCACCACCTCCCTCTCTGGAGCACCTCTCGCTGGAAGCCAACGACGAAAACAGCCGATCCGGTCGTCGCGCGATGCGTCAGCACCTCAACGAGCCCGTTTCTGCTATCGAGGCCCCATCTCGCCCATTCATGAGCCCCCGCTCCGCTAGCTCTAACAACTCCAATCCCCGCACGAACCTGCACTCCACAACAATGCCCATCCGCACTGCGCCGCCGAACGGCCCGCCTCCCGCGCCGCCTGTTTCAGCAGGCGGAAACTGGCGCATCCAACCAGGAACTACACCCCGGTAATGGGGTGATGAGTAGTCAATGTACTCGGATCTGTCTTGGTTCTATTTCCTTTCCATTGTCATGTTTATGTTTTCAGACAAACGTGCATGTATAGACGAAAAACCGATGCAACACGGTCTTGGCTTTAGTGGATGTGCTATTTCCTTGCTGTGTTGTTCTGTCTGGAGTGTACTCATGGCGCTCTTGATGGAACAAAAGGAGGAGCCAAGGCAAGCTGCCCTAACAGCACTTTCTTTTTCTTCCATCTATGAGTATCTCTCTCTATTTTTCTATTTTCTCCTTCTTCACTTCTTATTCAATGACTCTGCTTCGATTGAAACATCTGGCAACGAACCCTATTTTGTTCATTTCTGACTCTGTCTTTATCTGCTGGGATGTCTTCCTGCATTACACGGCGTACATAAATACGTGCAATTCCATACTCTTTCAAACTATGGTAGAAACACTGGGATATGCGTCCCTTCGATATAACTTTCCAACAAAACACGTGTAGCAATCAATCTAAAATTTAAATTCCAAGCTCACCCGACGTGTGGGATATTCGCTGTCCAGGTACCTATATATGCGCCTGGAGGAAGAAAAGCCAATGAGCGAATGACCTCGACCGTTATAAACAGTCTTGCCAGAATAAACACAACTACGATGAGGATCAACAAAGAGCCCTCAACTAATTCTAGTATCTTTGGTTGGCTTTTCAGTTTAAATACCTTCTACCAAGTTGGATCCGAGATCAGATAGGCAAATGGCAAGGCAACAGCCGTTACAACCGAGCTCAGACGCCACAGTAATCTCTCTACGGCTGTAGGGAACTCAAAGTTCCATGCTACGCAGTGGATGGCACCAAGCGCAAAGAAATAAGCCAGGCTCATCACGTACCCTGGCACTCTCCCTATGGCATCTCTGTGCATGGCGTCATTGGGGATCCAGACGTTGGATTTGAAAACATTACCCACCAGGCCAGCATTGGCCATGTAGATCAAGTCTTCCGCGGAGGGATGCCTGACAGCTTTGATGGTATATGATGTCCGGACATCTTGGGGCTTGTCGATCAACATGATATACGTGATCGAGGAGCCAATTGCGAACGACAAGGTAAAATCTCGAGCTGGCTTGTTGGGAGATTTCGGCCAAATCGCACGCCGAGCTGAATGAACATCCACGAGATCTGAAGCAATGCTAAGATCTTGACGACGAGATCGCCATTGTTATGGTCATCCAGGGAATCCTGCGACATGTAGGGCAGTTTGTCGATGATACCAAGCTCACGGGCAAGGAGAAGTTGGTCCGCATCCACCACCCACAGATTGCCACAAAGAAGAGTGAGATTTCCAACCCAGTTCGTGTATGGCGTGTTTAAGACCTTTCTTTCTTTAGGTAGCCTTGAGAAACCATGCTGTTTGCTTTTTCGATGGCAAGGAAGTTGGATCTATCCAATGCCCAGTCAACTTTGCCAATCGCATTCGAGATTTTCTGCATTGACCTCTGAAGCATCTGTGGGGTTCGTATTCCCTCTGGAAGATCTTTTATAGAAAGTATCTCTTAAGTACCGGTGGTAGCATCGGAATCGACAAATCGAATAGGGAATCCACCCATGTTGGCATAGTGTATATGGGAGGCGGACCATGGGACTCCATCTCTCTCCTGGATCTTTGCAAATCGGGTCTTGAGCATCTTAGCAGAGGACACATCACTGCAGGCCCTCCCGAATGCCCACTCAGGAGTGAGAATGGTGATCATCATCCATTTGAGCTTACTGGAAAACCGCCAAAGTGTTCGCAGATATTTTTGGCGTTTTGTCGATGGCGTCGACTGGATTGGGACATTGAGATGGAGAATGGACCAAGTGCAGAGACCTATCACGCTGAGGCAAGACCAGACAATATCCAGAGTCCCTCGAGTATTCGGGGAGGAAACAAAGCCTGCCGTCTCTAGAGGATATGTACAATTGGTGTGAAATATCTGCATTCTGCTAATGGCTCTCGAGTCAAGGGGGTGTAACTATTTTGATATTGTGCGGGGATCTGTATAAGACTAAAGTGCTACGGGCGCAACAAATAGTTCAGCCGTTTCAATTAACCATTCTGTACAGCGCGTCAGCGTTGGCTTCTTCTGTTCTTTTTACTTATTGGTTAACTCAGTAGTGCTGGGCGGCTATGTAAAGGATTGGGGCGAAGTCTATAACACGTAAGGAATATAAATATAGAACAGATGGGTAAATACATTGTTAAATACCAATCCTTGTATACCAATCCTTGTACATCTCGTCCTGTTTACGTCGTGAGCTATACATTCGGGTCATTTCATGGGCTGCTATATCGCATGTTGGTTCATATTATAAAACTAAATAGATAACAGTACAACAGACTCAATAGCCGAGGCTGAGGATGACGTAGTCTACAATGTTTCATTAAAAGAATATTGAATGACTGGCTGAGAATTGATATATCCAGCCATAACATGACCGAGGTGTACATAAAGAGCTCATGTGTTCACAAAGCAAACGGTTTTCGAGACCGACAACAACAACAACAAAAAAAATAAACTTAGAACAGGAGCAAACCAAACCCATGGGCAAAATGATAGCGCAAATAATAAGCCAAACAAAGTCATAAAGCTCTGAACACCAAACGAACCCCACAACAAATCGGACATGTTCTCTATTTCATCATGAGCTCTGGGCCAGCTAGCGGACTGGGAGCAGGGGGTCCATGGGCAACACTCGGGGTCGATGGCGCAGGAGCAAGGTCTGGCATCGGGATTGATATAGACGATTTTCCACCCCGAGTGCTGTTAGTTCCACCGCGGCCAGAGGTCCCAGTGCCGCCACCACGACCACCGCCACGGCTTTCATGGGCAGCGGATGCAGTGGTAGCAGCACGGTCGCTGCCGCTATCGGCCTTCTTGTTGCCTCGCGGACGGCGCGAGGTGCCACCACGAGAGCCGGGTCCACGCAATGGTAGGCCAGTATCTTGGGAGACAGGCACGGCAGCTGCAATAGGAACGTGTGGGTGCGAAGTCACGGTCCGACCCCGACCCGTTCCTCGCCCACGGCCACGGCCACGTTTGATTGTACCGTCGGCGCTGCAAATATTTAGTAAATCTGTAGTAAGAAGGTAGTAAGTAGACATACCGTTCCACCTGGACCTTTTCTCCCTCTGGGACCAGTGGCCCACTGTAGACAAAGAACCCATCCTTGCTGGCAGCAGCCTGCTCCTGCCACACCATTTCGGTGTCATCCACAAATGGATCATCACGGTCGTATTCCTCGACCTTCTTGCGTCGCTTCTTTTTTCCATCGCTAGCCTCTGAGGGCGCACCGTTGGTTCCTGCACCAGTGCCGCCCATGGGAACATCGCCATCCATATCACTATCACGTTCCGCATCGAGGCTCAGGTCCTCATCAGCACTCTCGCCGGCAGAGATTCCTTTGGCATTTTTATCATTTCGTTCCAACGCGGCCCCGGCAGCTGCCACACGAGCCATGCGTGCCTTGTGCGCAGCCAGACGAGGGTGCAAGGCAGCGAAACCATATTGCTCTTCCGCAAGCCGTGCAAAGTTGACAATCTGGTTGCCCTTTTGTAGCGGAACATGAACAATGATGCTGGGTGTGCCACGCGAGTCAGGCGACTTTGCAGAATCATCCCCTCCGCCGAACAGCGCGTTTGTGATCAAGCCAGATCCCTGAGGCAGATGAGGTGCTTCTTTGACAGGTCGAGCTGGCTTGGGGGATGAGGCCTTTGATGCCGGTGCAGTAGCTGTGCTTTTTTCCTTTTTGGCGCTGGGTGTGGAATGCTCTGTGTGGTCGATTTCCATTGATTCAACTGGTTGCTGTCTAGGCGGAGTCGGCTGCCCAGCGGGTTCGGGTTGCGCTGGAGGTTGAGGTTGGCGCACCGCCGGCGGAGAAGGTTCGAGTTTAGGGGTTTGTGATGGGGTTGGCCGCTGCTCGGTAGGTGGGTATGGGGTGGTGTAGGGGGTGGACTGCGACATGGCCTGCGGGATATGCATGGCTCCACGGGAAGCAGAGGAAATGGGAAGGGGCGAGGGTGCTAAGGACGGATGTGAGGGTGTGGAAACCATCGCAGGCGGTGCCGGCGAAGACAGGCCGGACACATGGCCAGAGGAGGAGCGTTGAAGCGTATTGTATATTGGTTGAGAGTTCTGCGCTGGTGGGTCGATGATGCTTGAGATCGCTGGCGATGCACTGGCACGATAACCGTTGCGAGGGGAGATTGCGCGAGCAGGAGGACTATATGATGGTGCTGGAGATGGATTGTCAAACGCAGAGCGAATGGGATCGAAGTTTTGTCCGCTGGTTCGTTGAGGTGGTGGTTGCGGCACTGGAGGTTGCGATTGCGGTTGTGGACGAGAAGGTTGCGACAGCTGATACGAAGCTCCTGGAGCTGTAGGGGGGTGCGGATTTGAGTATGAAGTTGGAGTAAGTTGAGGGGGCTGAGGAGGCTGAGAAGGCTGAGGGGGTTGAGCTATTTGAGTAGGTTGAGTTTGAGCGGGTTGAGGTAGAGCGGGCTGAGCAGGTTGCGGCGTTGCAGGGGCGTGTGGAGGGCTTCGGGCGTCTACCGGGGCCCTCGTTTCCTCTGCCGCAGGTTCTAGCTTAGGCTTTTTCCGGGAAGCAGTGTTGTTTGATTTCTCCCGTGGACGACGCGGAGCCCTTGCCGGTTTTTCTTTGACTTCTTTTGGTTCCTTCTCCTTCTTCTTGGTGTCGGGGTCATCATCCTTCTTACGACGCGACCGCCTGGCGGTACCGGAGGCACGTCGGGCGCCTGTGTCGGGTTTGACATCAGTGCCAATAGACCCTTCTTCTTTGGGTATACCCGTATTAGGAGGATCGGACATGATTTGACAAAATCACAATCAATAAACTGAAAATAAATAAATTGATGGAATTTGGTCAAAATCGAGATGAGGATGAGAGTTGAGTCGAAGTGGTGAAACGTGTCGGGTATCAGGTCGGCAAACAGAGATTGAGGGGGCAGAGGAACACAAGAAAGATAAGATGGTGACGGAAGAGAGAAAACACCAAGAAAACGCGGGAAAAGCAGAAAAAAGAGAGAGGGACGCGGAAGGGGAGAAGGGGGAAAATGTTGACAAGAGAAGAGAAGAGTGCAGAAATAAGAAAGAAAGGGAGAAGAAGAAGAAAAAAAAGGAAAAAAAAGGGAAGAAAGGGGAGAGAGAGAGAGCAAGCAAGATTGGAATTAAAGCACATTACATGAAGTACTGGATAAACTGCTATTTGATATGTCAAGCTCTATACTACTTGGAAACATGGGGGAATTACTACAGAACTCATGTATAGAGTTATCATAGAACTATACCTTCTTACAATATTTATGTAGAATTATATTTGACTTGAGGTCATTGTTGAGTATTGATCATATCCAATTATTCTCCCCTGCGGATCGTTTAGCCTAGAACCGTAAGTTGTACCTGATACAGGAATGGCTTCATTTACCGAATGATCTCGTGTTCTTCAGATCAGGTGCTCACTATATTCTGAGATTTACATTCGATGTGGTCTTATTATTTCTTTCCTTTTGTAGATAATACGAGTCAAAGTAGTACATGTATTGATCCTGCTTGTGTATCCCAATGGAAGCTTATGATAGGTACGACAAATATCGACTTCCATGTTCGGAAAAAAACTCTTGGCTTAAGAAGAAAGGAAAAATAGACAAGATTCTTCTTTCTATATCAATCAATGTGAAAGACCTGATCAGTATCCAATTCGTCATCTATAGCATAAGAAAGATCGATGCGAACTGTATAGATGCCACGGATCAATGTGAGGAACCCAATTGGGACTAGCACATCCGCCATCTCCCACTAGCCCATTCTGGTTAGACTGTTCTGCAACCCCATTTTAGCTTTGGGAGCCGCATCCATGAATCTCCCCGCGCTGACATAACTTTTTTTTTCTCCTCTTCACCTTATTTACGCATCATGGCTTTTCGAGGTGAACGTTTCCTTCTGGATCTAGATGAGGAATCTGGTGCTCCAGAAATCCCCACTCCATTCTCACTCGTCGGTGAGATCCAAGAACGGGCTCCCTCCACCGCCATTCCCCCCGCGCCTAGACTGCCGACCTTGTCGGCGTCATCAACTGGGTTCCCTGCCCCTCGCCAACGCAAGCCATCTTCCTTCAAACAACGACGAACAAACGCGCCCACTGCTCCGGCTCCGGTCCCCACTGAATCGACCGCTCAAGATGACAAGAAATCCATCGACGAAGAGAACCGCCGTCAGCTGGCGGCTATGTCGGACGCGCAGATCCAACGGGAACGAGAGGAGCTGATGGAACAGATGGATCCAGGACTTCTGGAACGATTCCTCCGCAGAGCGAACATTGAAGAGGACCAAAAGACCGAGTTTGAACCGCCGGCACCCGCGGCCGACGAAAAATCCAAACCGAAGAAATCAGTTTCGTTCGACGTTCCTTCGTCTGCACCGGTTTCTGCACCAACCGCGCAGTCTCATTCTCTACCCAAACCACCAACTAAGCCGCACCCCCGTAATGAAGATCTCGCTCCATCCTCTCTTCCTCAAGACCTCCACCCCGCCTCTGAACGGCCCTCCCTCGACCCAGCTACTATCGAAACTTTCCACTTCCCCCAGCCAACAACGCCGATGCCAGTCCTAGACCCATCTTCACCATCTTTCCTATCAGATCTCCAGTCCCACTATTTCCCCGAGATAGCCCAGGACCCATCAACGCTCTCCTGGCT